GGGGGGGGGGGGGGGGTAATCTAATAAGCATGCTAATGTCATACAGTATATTAAATTATTAAAAATTTTAAGATGCCGTAACATCTACAAGACAACGTTTCCTTCTCCATAAATGGGTTCCTAAGGGATCTAATACAACTCATAAACATCTGATAATCTACTGTTGCTGTGGGCCATAAAATGCCACATCAAAGGGTTTTGTTCTTGTCGCATTATTATGGACCGGGTGAGAGGGAAAGCATTGCAGAGTTTATCAAATAACCCCTGGGCACAGATCTATCGTCATTTTACAGATGATCTCACTGAGGACAAGGACAAGTCTTCAAAAGCCCAAAAGCCAGAATATTAAGGGGGTTAAAGGGGAATCTGTTATGAGACTGGATGACATTGTTTAACTTTTCAGTTTAATTTACATGCTGAAATCTGATGGCCAATGGAGTATACGTTATAAAACACAGACACTATTGACCCTGGCTCTTCAGACAATAACCACACTCCACGAATTTAAGTCTAAACTCAAAGTCTATATGTTCAACCAATATTACCTGTTATAATGTCATACTACTTGTTTCACTTCTGTTTCAGTTTTTATAACCATTTCTTACAATGTTTAAGTTGTTGTTTTTTTAGCATGTGTGTTTGGCAGTGTTATTTTTTAGGATTACTGATAAACTACTGTCGTTTGATTTGTATTTATTTATTTTAATTTGAGTTAAATTATGTCTGAATTTATGTCTGTTTAGGTCTTTTATTAAGTTTTTAGTTTTATTTAATTTGACTTATTTTAATACTTCAACAAACTAAATGGAAATGAAATAATATACAGTGGGTACGGAAAGTATTCAGACCCCCTTAAATTTTTCACTCTTTGTTATATTGCAGCCATTTTCTTTTTTAATAAATCTGCAAAAATGTCAACAATTCTGTGTTTTTCTGTCAATATGGGGTGCTGTGTGTACATTAATGAGGGAAAAAATTTAACTTAAATGATTTTAGCAAATGGCTGCAATATAACAAAGTGAAAAATTGAAGGGGGTCTGAATACTTTCCGTACCCGCTGTATATATTGAATTTATAAATGTGTATGTACATATACAGTATATACGTATATGTGTGTGGCTGTACATACACATGTAGTTGTTTTTTTTGGTGTTTGGCTTAGTGTTATGTTAGAATCATTATTATACTCATACCTTTTGTTCTTTAATATTTTGAATTGTTTTTAGCTTTATTTTGTTTTTTTCATTTAAATGTTAAGTTTTGAATTGTATGCATTTGTCAAAATTGCTGTATGCATTTGTAATTTTTATTTAATTTCTTTATTTTTAAAATGTGTATAAGTAGTACTTATAAAGTTTTAGTTTTTAGTTGTGGATCTGTTTTTAGTTGTTTTAATACTACAATTGATTGCTTCTGTTGTCCTCATTTGTAAGTCACATTGGATAAAAGTGTCTGCTAAATGACTAAATTAAAAAAAAATTGTGATTATGATACTGTATTATTACTGTGGTATGCAACTGCAACTGCACGTTCTGGACTTGGCAAATGTCTTGTCCATCTATGTATAACATGATTGTTTATTTGCTTTTATCATTGTGCAGCGTCCTTGAGCTTTTGGAAAGGCGCTATATAAAATAAATGTATTATTATAATTATTGATTCATCCTCCTAATACTTAACAACACAAGACCATTATGATATGTTATGCTTTAATTAAAGCACTTACATATGTTTGGTTTTACAAACATTATTTTTTATCTTAATTTTCTTACATAAACAATCTCACATTACAATAAAACCAAAAGAACCCCAGAGAGGAATATGGACAGAAAATGCTAAATAAAACAAGGTGAGATGTTGACAGAGAATTTGTACTACTGATCTTTGAAATCTCATTTTCTCTGCAGGTTCTCCAAGTAGCTAATGAATCTCTTCAGGTTGATCCTTATGTTGTCCAGAACACAAAGCTGATCAGGGCTGTATTTTCCTCTGCCTTCTTTTCGCAGCTGCGAGGGAACAAAACACCAAACTGTGAAAAGCCTGCCATCTAAAGGCCTAAGAACACACTAGAATAAAGAGAACTAGCAATGGCTGTGCTGTGAATGGTCAGACTGTGAATGGATAAAAGCAGCTGAAGAAGTCCTTTATAGTTTTAAAGTAGAACATTTTAGATCAGCCACCTAAGCCCCTTTCTCTGGACAGTCATTATGAGGCTGAGATGGTGCTTATGCAACAGATCTCAATGTCAGAGAAGACAAAAAAAATGTTGCACTTGAACCTTGAGCTCATGCATTTGGAGGAGTGAGATTTGGCATTTTAGTGTCTGATTTAATATTACTGTTCGGGTGTGTGAATGTGATAAATGAGATTGTATCTGTGGTGATATTTCTTGTTGGCTTTAAACAAACCTTAGCCCTAAACCCTGGCTGAAGGGCTTTGAGAGATGAAAGCAGGTTAAGATTTTTTCCAGCTTTCTCTGCTTCATCGCCATCCGCAAACACATCGAAGAGGGCATCCAGCGCTTCCCCGCACACAACCAAGTTTGAGTCCTTCATTGCGATATTCAGTAATGCATTTCCAATCAACTGCAAAAAGAGATTAGGTTAGCTGATCAACTGACCAAAGCTATGCAATGACAAATATGCTGCAAAAACAATGCTCAGCTATTAACCTAATAAAAGACAGACAGATTGTACTATACACTTAATTTGTAAATCCATTTAAGTCTAAAAATACTGTAGAATGTGATATAAATGTAGCCACTTGTAATTTAGTCAAATCAGACTGTCACTGCATTTCAGTGTGTGTGTGTGTGTGTGTATTACATGTAAAATGGGAACATGAAAGGAATATTCTAAAAACAACTCATGTAAACACCTTAATCATAATATTGTCTTATTCAGAATAAAGTAAATAATTAGATTACTGATGTCCATGTAAACGTACTCATTGAGTCATTCGTTCATTCGATTTGTTGAAATAGGCTGATTCATTCAGGAATGAAGTAAATGGCTCTCTTTATGAATGGGCCATTGAATCATTGGTTCACACGATTCATTCAAAACGTGGATTCATTCAGAAAAGAATCACCACTGTGTGCCGGTTTCCGGTCTCATCTGCTTCCAGTTATTTTTAGCAGTACAAAACAGCTCATTTTGCTGCTTGATATTGCAAACTGGTGCGTCTTACCACATTATTTTAATGCATTATCTTAATTATGAACACAGTGGTTTGTAGTGCAAACAGTTTTACCGTTTACAGTACTTCTTGCTATTTCCCTACAGTGGCTAATGAACCGGGAGTGTTGCACATTCACAGAAAAAGTCTAACTTCCATGTTGAAAAATAAGGTGGATATTTCTTGTAGGCATAATAATGGCACTATAAATATGGCTAATATTATTCTAATATTTCTACCGCAGTCAGTATTACCTGTAGAGTGTCTGCTGTGTTTTTCTCTTTGGAAAGAGAGCTTCCTGTGATACCGAGAATGGCCAGAGCATTAACTCTCACACTGACCAGCTCATAGCTAGTGGCAGCCTCACAAAAAATCATTAGCTGTTGTGGAGTCATACCCTGCAGGATACAACATATAAAACACATACAGTTAAAAATACCAAGTCAAGCTTGAAATAATGAATCGCTAAAGCATAAAATGATAAATGAATGTGGTTCTCACCTGAGGGATGTTTTTGGTAGCCATGATCTGTAGTAGAGAGCGAAGAGCACTAGTCACAGCCTCCAGGAACTCCTCATCCTTTAATGCCTCTAGAAATTAATGTACAATCATAGAAGATATTACATTTTTACACCTAAAGTGGAAAAACCACATATAAATAAATACAAGATCTCCTATACGCCTAATCAATACCAAACACTGAAAAAAAACACACAAAAAAAACAGAACAATAAAAAGTGCTTTCCATCAGAAGCCTGACAGATTCAGTATAATGTCAGAGAGCACGGTTGCTTAATTATGGGAAATGTTTTTTTATTAATGGATTTACTTGAACTTAAATGTTTTTCCTTGAAACTAAAAAACAAATACACACATAAAAAAAAATTGATGAAATATACAGAGTGAAAAATTTAAGGGGGTCTGAATACTTTCCGTACCCACTGTATATCCACTACTGTGCGAAAGTCTTAGGCCTGTAGTATTTTCACCAACAAAAAAATGGTTTTAAGTCAGTTATTTCTGTCTTTTGCTGTAGTGTGTCTAAAGAAAACTGTGTAAAGCTAAACAAGTTGGGGTTGCCAGTGGGGGGACTAGTTCACCACAGATGTCCGGTCAGAGACAAAGATGCAGTTTAAGGTTCTTGATGCTTTTATTTTCTCCACAACCATTCCATGAATGTCCCATCAATGTTGAGCACGTAAGTGCAAGACATTACTTTGGTGCTTCCATGTGTGTGGTCTTTAACAAAGGGATCCAACAACAAATTAGAATAAACAAATCATTAAAGTAGGTAAATCCATACCATTCAAGGTAGGAAAAAAACACTTCACAGAGCAATCAACATAAGGAGCATATGTGACCACAATATGTCATTACATTTAAAGTACCCTTAAACAATGAACATCAACAAACAAATTCAGAAGGGTCACAGCTATCAAGAGCTGAAGTACATAAATAAACTTACTTGGTTCATCTAACATACGCACACAACACCAAACTTGAGAAAGCATCAAGCCCATTCTGCTTTCCCCTACTCTGTGCGGACTATTTCTACCAAATGCTAAATCACTGCCACCTGCTGAACATGGGCGGAGCTTAGTGTCTTTAGGTTGCTGCATTGACAGCACATTCAAACAGTGCCTCATCGCCAGAACATTGCAAAATAAAAGTTCATTTGCAGCCTTTTTAACAGTGTCAGTAGGAAATATCAGTTTACATTATCAAACATTCCTTTTGCCATTAATTGTAATAATCCAGTGAGATTTTTGTATGCACAAGGAGTCTGACAACAGCCAGTGCTCCACACAGAGATCTGATCTCAACATCATCCAGTCCGTCTGTGATTACATGAAGAACCAGAAAAAACTGAGACAGACTAAATCCGGAAGAACTGTGGCAACGACTCCAAGACGCTTCAAGAAACCTTCCTGCAAAGCTGCACTTGTGTAAAAATGCTGTAAAGTGAGGATGCTTTCAAAAATAATGTCATAAATAGATTTTATTTAGCAATTAACTTCTATCAACTAAATCAAATCAATATTTGGTGTGACCACCCCTTTGCATTTAAAACAGCTTTTGTCCTTTGTACACTTGCACATTGTTTTTCAGGTAGCTTTGCAGGAAGGTTTTTTGAAGCGCCTTGGAGACGTTGCCACAGTTCTTCGGTTCTTTAGTCGGTCTCACTTTTTTCCTGATTCTTCATGTCATTTCAGACGGACTGGATGATGGTGAGATCAGATCTCTGTGTGGAGCACTGGCTGTTGTCAGACTCCTTGTGCATACAAAAATCTCACTGGATTATTACAATTAATGGCAAAAGGAATGTTTGATAATGTAAACTGATATTTCCTACTGACACACTACAGCAAAAGACAGAAATAACTGACTTAAAACCATATTTTATTTATATATATATATATATATATATACACACTTACATAAAAAAAACCAATCAATTAAAATAATTAAGATCAATTATGTTACATTGTTCTTTCAAAGTGCACTACAAAATATATGATCTAGCTTATTTTGGTATAATTTATTTGTATTATGTTTATATATATTTCTATATTAATACTTCTATATATTTTTAATATATTTATATTTTTCTATATAATTAACATGTGTCAAAATGCCTGTCGATGTAAGCGAAAAAAGTTAGCTGGATTTGTAACACAAGACAAAGTGGAAGCATCACTGCAAAAAGGAATGTGGCACAATAAGCATTTTATCTCGATTATCTTGTGTTCATAATTGCTGGAAGCCCAAATTAAAAGTGAAAATAAAAACCGATTAAATTGCCCAGCCCTACGTAATAGTGAGACGTCTACCTGCTGAGCTGAAAACCAATGAGGAGAGGTGCTGAGCCACAGCCTGTAGCCCTGAAGCACCACCAAGAGATTCTGTATCCATAGAAGAAAGGATATTATGGAGACACGTGAGTGCCCGACACTGCACCCGGTGCATCCTAAAAGAAACAGAGTATAAGAATTGGGTTTTCGCAGATTTGTATGAACACTACAAACATCATGAATGTATTTTTACTTTTTCAAGAGGCATTTCCAGGTAGGGTACTTGCTACAGAGCTCAAGGGCAGCAGCACTGGGGAACTCAGCCTTCTTTAAGACCTGAAAGAAATCAATCAGGAAAGTGAATATAGTACACAGTTCACTATGACACAGGTACAGTATGTTATACGAACAATATGCGAGTATGTATTGAGTATATTATGCAAAGAGTGTGCCTTTAACACATCTTACGATCTTCTAGAGCGGGATTGTTAGTCACCCCTAAGCTTAGTCTGGTGACTATGGGAGCCAGGTCTTTCAGTGCTGTGGCTCCCAGGTTGTGGAATGCTCTTCCTCCAGACATCTGTCAAGCATCCTCCCTTCTCTCCTTCAAAAACACGTTTTTTCTCTGAATATTACTCTTCAGTTTTCAGTCTGTAAATTGTACCTTGTTATGGATGTTATTTATTTGAATTCCTCTTTGTTTGTATCTCTAACCTAATTTTGTAAGCGATGTCTGTATATTACTTTCAGTTCTTGGTATGTGTATTGTGCTTTGATGTTGATGTTTACGTGGCTCTCTTTCTTATTTGTCTCTGTAAAGTGACCTTGGGTGTTGGAAAGGCGCTAGTTAAATACAAATTATTATTATTATTATTATTACTATTATTTAGTGCTGGGCAGCGATTAATCGCATTCCAAAATAAAAGTTTTTGTTTACATAATATGCGTGTGTGTACTGTGTATATTTATTATGTATATATAAATATACACATATACAGTATACACACACACATTCTATATATATATATATATATATATATATATAGAAAATATTTACATGTATATATTTATATTCATATAATTGATCTTATATATAAATATATTTAATATAAACATAATATATTTTTCTTAAAGGGGTCATAGGATGCTACATGCACTTTTACAAGTTGTTTGAACTGAAATGTGTGTGTACACAACCACCATATAATGATAAAAATCCACCCAGTGTTTTTTTTTTAATCTCGCTAAAAGTTTTCCTCTTTCTAAAATCGAGCCGATCTCAGATCTCCCCTACCACGACAGTTTGACTGACAGTCTATGGACGTGCGTGCCACTCAGTCGCTCTAACCGCCCAAGCAAGCGCTCCGTTAATATTCCGCTCACGCTCGCCGTAAACCAATTCCCGCTCAGATCCCGCTCCGTTCTGTAAAGAACAAATTTGCGTGCATTATATTAGATTTTAAATTACTGCTGCCTATATCTAGCCTACATTCTGTAGGACTACCTATTGTTTCGGGTCAGTTTTTTTTTTAAATAATATTTGAATAGGCCTAAGTGGTGTAGGCTAATATCTTCTGTACTCTGTAGTTCTGTATTTAGGCCTATATACAGCTGTGTGTTAGCTTAGGTCTACAGTTTAACAGATTATTTAATAACTACGGAGCTCCGAATATAATTCGAATTAACAATTAGTTTCTATGACGTCAGCAGGTTTTATTATTTTTTTTATTAATTTTAAGCAATAATGATTTTAATAAGTAATTACGAAATATAATAATTCGTTCCACGATTTAGGCCTACTATAGGGAATGAACGAATTAACGAACGAATGAATTCGTGGCAGCTAAGCCTAAACAAGAGAACGAATACTTAATTCGTGGCCATAATTTAGACTAAACTAAAAAATGAATTCTTAATTCGTGGCCATAATGTAGTCCTAGCATAAAAGAGAACTAGCCTATTCTAAATTCATGGCTGTGATTTTGTCTGCATGTCATGATCGGGGCTCCGTACAACCGAATATAACCTTAGCCTACCTGTTTATTCATTTATTATGGTATGTAACTAGCTCACCTTTTGCTGCACCATGTTTGCGTAGCACATCTTCGTGCTTTCTGTAATCAATATGAATCTATACTAACTTTAACAGTCTCCCCGCACTCCCTCTCAGTTTCTTCTTCCTGCTCATTCTTAACTTTGATTTTTACTTTACATTTATGTATAAGGCTTGCAACTTCGTTGAAACAATATCTGAACTCCATAACTGCTCTACTATTCTCGATCTCTACAGATTCTCGATCTCGAACAAGCAAATCACCAAAAGCATTCTGGGTTGAGCGAGTGGCGCTGAGCGTATTGAGCGAGCGGAGCGGAATCTTCAGAAAGGCGCTCTGCTCTCTTAAGGAAATATTACCACTCCGCTCCCCGCTCCATTTTGTATGACAGGTTTCTTTTCTTGTCTTGCACTCTAAGTATTAAAACTGGCTGTTTTTCCTACTTATTCAACAGACACCACTATTATTTATTGCCATTTCATAATAATCCACTTATGTTAAAGCCTTCATTATATCGTGCTTCCCTTTGGTAAAATCATGTTTTCAACAAAAGTAAAATAATAACTGTATTGTATTTTAATATTTTTCAATAATGTAACAAGTAACATTTTTACTGTCACATTTGTTAAATTTGTTGTGTCCTTGTTAAATGAAAGTATGATTTTCTTCAGAAAAAAATGCTTGACCCCAGATTTCTGAACGGTAATCTACTAATTCAAGATTATTTTACCAACAAGCACATTTTTGTCATGGACTACTTCAATGCCCTCTCTCTGTGTCTGCAAACACAAGACAAATCATTCACAAGGCCTAACCAGTGTCCTCATTTAACTGCCAAAATATGTCCATCACACTCCCATTTTAGATGGTTTTACAAATATCCCAAAGTGGCCTGGAGTACAGTATGTGAGAACTGCGATCTCCCCACTGAACCAGAAGGGTCAGTAACATCAGAATAAAATAAAAACTGAGGCATTGTAAGCATTGCTGACTATGTAATAATGTGTGTTACCTGTTGAGGTATGCTGTGGTTGAGCAGGATTGTGTGAAGTTCAGCAGACAGACAGAGAGGAGAGAACAAGCTGGAATTAGTGTCTGACATCCCATCAGCACACACCTCGCTCTCATCGCTACTGGACATCTCCTCCCACTCATCATCTGAGGGCTCTACAGACAAACACACACACACAGACAGTCAAATATGCCATCATATTATCGGTCTTGTCTTCTCTGACGCAAACATAGAAATCATTCCTCTAATTTCGCACATTTGCAGGAAAATCCTGAGGATTGCCTATAATATTCTTGTCTTCCCTGCTCACATATAAACATACACTCACCATCGGAGCAGCACATGTTGACAATGATTTCCAGCGATGTCTGCTGTGCTGACAGCAGTGCTTTGGCCTCTCGCAACTCCAGTCTGTCTCTCTTAAAACACAGACACATACAACAAAACCACAGAAGTGGGTTATTTGTACACATATAGAGATGGCTATTAAACTGATTTAAGATAGTTTGACTGAATACTGATAACCGATTTGATAAAACTGAAATAGAGAATGAAATCATTAAGAGCATTCACAGTAACATGGAAATTTTAAACATAGTTTGCTTTGGTTCTTGATGTAAACTGGGCCACAAATATGAGGCTCTGGATCAAATCTCTCCCTGACCTTTCAAAGAGGACCACGTTCAGGACACCCTATGGGTAGGTTAGACAGGAGCTCAGAGTGGTTACAGCAGCCCTGCACACTGGTGTGTAAGTGGGTAAAGTCACTCTGTGTTCAGAGAGAGTGAGAACCATCTGGCTCTGAGGGACAGATGTGCCATCATTTGTGTTGACATGGTGTGAAGGGGAAAGAGAGAGTGCAGGAGGTATGCTATAGCCTTCATGTCAAGGAACATAGAGGAGATAGTCTTTAAGAATGCATTTATGATCTCCATAGGCACGCTAACCTATCATAATAATATAAGTGGCTAATTTTTTTAGATAATTCACCCAAAAATAAACTGTCAATGTTTAATCAACCCTCATGTTGCTCCAAACCAGACTTTCTTCTGGAATGGCATGAGAGTGAGTAAATCACAGAATTTTCATTTTTGGGTGAACTA